ACACATTTATATTTATAATGATTCATTAAACAAGTTTCCTACAGAGAGTTGTAAGGTCTGGGAATCCAGGTTTGCTTGACTGCCCAGGATCTGGGGCATGCCACTTTCAACGTGGCTCCAACAGCTGTTTGTCAACGCAGAGCAAAGATGGAGTGATTCAGCTTTCAGTTACAATAAACTCAGCTGATAGACCATGTAAGAAGGCAGGTAAAAATTGGCCCCTTAGATCTAAAATTGACTTTGATTCACCTTGGTAGGCCCTTAGAATCAAATCCGCAAGGAGGTGATTTAAATCCCATTGCTTGTTTCACTGTTTAGATTTATGGATGTGGGAGAATATCCTGGGACTGGAACGTGGAAGGCTGGAGCCTGGGTGTCAGAACAGGACAGGCAGCTGAGTACTGAGCCAAGGATTTGCACTACTGAGTGCTTATCGAATCTCATTTTCCTTCAACCTCCATCACAGTTAAGGAGTGTGAATTGGCATCTTAAATTGAGTCTCTTGTTTGTGTTGCCCAACCATCTTTAGCTTAAATTACTAATCACCTCCCTTCCCAGAGTTGTAACTTCTGATCTGAAAAATATCAGGTTATATAACATGCCAATCTACACAAGGATGCGATTCTGTCAGAAAAAGGGACCCAATGAAGCACAAATTCTAACAAAACTGGAAATTACTTTTCTAAGAAAAGAGAAGATATTTTTGTTTCAAGCATTTGAAGCTGGTTTTAAATAAACTTTGGAGGCAATGTTACTGGTTCTTTTGGGGCTGTTGATTTCCCTGCCTAAACTCACCCAACAAATGTATGATGTTGGAGAAAATTAAAAGAGGTGGCAGGGATCTGCATAGTTTGCCAGGGGTTCTACAGAAGCCAATGCTTACAGCGTTGTGAAGGAGGTGGTATTATCCCATTTTGCTGGGGAGAGAAGTGAGCTTCTCCAAATAACATGCCTAGGGCCATACAGTCCTGATTCCAATGCAGTAAGTTAAAATCACATCTCCATCAACTTCCTCCCACAAAACAACAAAAGACTGGAGGGATAGTACCAGAAAGAATTAAATTCTATTGGAGGACAGTTCTCCATCCCAATACCCACCCTTCTGCTGGAACATCTGCTCACTGTTTAGCATTCCAGATCATTCCATTTGCTGTGCTCTCATGGTTCCTCTTTAGGTTGCACACTGGTTCTGGGGCAAGGACTGACACTTATTTCTCCCCAGAGTCGTTTCTCTTTCTCGGTTTAATACACTCAAACCACTTCTGCCCCCAAACAGAGGCTTTGATTAAGAACAGGACCGGCAGCCTGAGAATGGGAGAAATTTCTAGAGAACGAATGGAACCTTTCCTTCTCTGGCATCTTCTCCATTCTAGAAGATGGCGATTTCAAAATCCACCCTACCCCCTTCCCCCATTCAATGACCCAGACAAGGAGGACAGCTGTCTTAAATTAGGTACCTAAACCACAGGAGCATCTATAGGGGCATCCCCCAGGACCTACAGCAGTCAGGACACTGCTGGGAGCAGGCATGCAACTCAGACTGGTCCAGTCCCACTAAGAGGAAGGGTTTCCAGTTGCCATCCTCATCAAAGAAAACATTCTTTTACAATACCTAGCAATAAAGAAATCCTGCTTTCACGCTATGTCTGGATTGGTCACAATTCTCTGCACGCCTCAATACACACACACACACACACACACACACACACACACACGCACGCAGAAAACTAGCTCCCACTGCCACCACCTGTGAAAACACCACTCTTAACTTTAGCAAGCAGAGAACCCGGGAAAAGCGGAGCTGCAGGACGCCAGGAGCGCGCTTGGGGGTCTCAGGCTTTGGAGGAGAGGGATGCACGGCCTGGACCCCAGCCGGGTGGGTGAGACCTTGGTGGATACAGCTCAGGTTTCTGAGACCAGGCCCCGCCCCCTCTGCAGACCCGCGGGCGGCTAGGACTGTGGCTCAGGCCACCAAGGAGGCCAGGGCCGAGGGCGCCCATCCCATGCAGTCTGAGAGCTTGCCGGGGCACAGACAACCCCGGAAACCCCTTCCCAGAGACTTCTGGGGAGGCCGGTCACGTGGGGCAGACCCTGGGCCAGGCAGCGGGCACCAAGCAGGAGGAAACAGGTTGTCTCCGAGCCCATCCCCTCCCCCCAGTCACCCCTAGGCGACCCGCTTCCCGCCGTGCCCTGGGAGCGGACCCCGCCGTCTCCGGGGCGGCCTCCTTCTTCCCGGACCCCAGCGTCCGGGAGCCAGAGCCCCTCTAGCAGCCCTGGCTAAGGTGCCTGCAGCAAGGTCAAGGCGCGGCCGGCTGGCACCTGGGGATTTTTCCCAGCCGAGTCCTGGCTTTGCCATCGCATTGTTAAGGATCATGGCAGCAGCAGGAAATCGGAACGGCCCCACAGGTCTGCGCCAGGGAGGATTTATTTTACAGCGCCAAACACACTCAGACAGACCCGGGATTTCAGGGGGGAGGGGATGCGGAGTTTCAGGACGCTGGGATACGGCAAAAAAACAAAACCCTCCCCACCCAAGCACCCTATCATCTGACTTCGGGGGAGGGAATGGAGGCCCTCAGAGCCCCAGACTTCAGCGTTCTGCAGGGTTCTGCCAGGGCTGGGGTAGATTTTCCTTCTACAGGCGAAAAAACAAGATTTAAAAACACTACTGTGCTTCTCTATCAAAGCCCATCAACGTGCGACAGGCTGCGGCAGTGAATGGAGGCAGCGAGATGGAGGGGAAAGAGCGCAGTAGAAAGCTGTCCACCGTTTTCCGCCGGTGAGGGAAGCCAGGGGCAGAAGCCGTACCATGCACCCATCCCATCCCATCCCCGGTAGCACCAGGCTAGCCCGGGAAATCAACAGAAGGTACACAAACGGCTGCTGCCACCCCCAGTAGAGGCCAGCACTCTACTTCCTAACCTACACACCCCTAATCCCCCTTGCTGACCGGGGCTTGGATGCCATGGGACGCCTGGGCATTTCTAGAAGGGGCAAGGCAACCAGGGCAGGTTTCTAAACAGGTGAAGGGCGCTAGATGTAAAGACGATGGGGAGGGACGCCCAGAGAGGCCCCGAAGAGACTCTTCCTGGATGCCCAGGCAAGTGATTTTCCTAAAACTATGTTCCCTGGAAGGCCTTCCAACTCCCTTCCCTTCCTCCCCAAGCGGAGGCTCCGAGGACTCAAAGAAACCCGAGTTCCTTCTGGATTAATCTTGGATCCCCACCCACTCACTCCCTGCTTCAGTAGTCGGTTCCTTGGGGACAGAGCTTTAGCACCCAAGGCCTATCGCAGAAGTGGGCGCCTTGGTACAAGGTGTCCCCAGCTCTCCATTCCCGAAGTGGAATCGCCCGGGTACTTACACTCCCCAAGCAGGAAAACTTTCAGGCTTGTTTTTCAGGAAGTCGGTGCTCGAAACACAGTTTGGGGTAATCACCGAGGCAGCTTATATAATTGTCCGCGATACTGTTCGGCAGCTCTGCTCGGTGCGCGGCCGCACAGCTCAGCACGTGGGCACCCTCTGGCCCCAGCGCTCGGGATCGCGAGCATGCCCCACCGGTGCCTTCTACAAAGGAGCAGGGCGATCGCCTGGGCTAACCAAACGCCAACAAGGCGCTCAGGTTCCGGCAAAAAACCTGTCTCCCTGCGTCCATTTCACAGCGTTGGTGGCTTATGGTTAACTGCCTATCTACAAACCTGTGGGCGGGG